GGAGGTGGAGGTAGCAGTGAGCTGAGATCACCACTGCACTCCAGCTTGGGTGACAGAGTGAGACCCTGTCTAAAAAAAAAAAAAAAAAAAAAAAAAAAAAAGGTTGTCAACTCCTTTCTGAGCACTGGCTGCAATGCCCAAGTCCCCGTCACCACAAAGCCACTGGAGCAGTTGCAGAGGAACTGTTTTGGAACACAGATCTGGTCAAGACATTATCCAGCCCAGGGTACTTCCCTGGCTTCCCACTGCCCACCGGATCAAGCCCACACCCAACAAGGTCCTTCAACAACTGCCCAGCAACCTCTCCAGCCTCATCTCCCACTGAGCACCTGTAAACCACCTAATTCTAGACACCATCTCAGTCAGGGCTACACTGCCTCCAGGAACCCCTTCCTGAACTTTCATCTTGGCAGGCAGACAGGCCTCTCCTCTGTTTTGCCACCAGGCCTGGGTTACCTGTCTGTCTCTCTGCTAGGCTGGCTGCTCCTGTGGGCAGGCTATGGTTGATTCAGTTCAAGGCTAGAGCCAAGCCCCATGCCTTGTACATCAGAGACGGCCAATGACTGTCATAACCATAATCCTTTCTCCTTCTGTGATTTCATTTCCCTGTCTATAAATGGAAGCTTGAATTAGATCAGGGATGGCAAATAGGATGTGTACCACCACTGACACGTTCACGTTCATGGTAGACATTGCCAGTCACTGTTGAGCCCAGACACACAGCTTCAGAATCATTCTCACAGTGTCCTGGGCAGCCACCACGCATCAAGCAGAGCTGGCATATGAATGGAAACTTACTTGCTACTTCTTTAGATAAGAGTTATAGTTTCTCTGTCTCCTTTTGGTCTCTCCCTCCTTTTCTCTAGTTCTCTAATCTCCCTGCTTCCTCCATCCAATCAGATGAGTATCTACGTTTGGACTCTGGAGTGTTTGTGGAAGAGCACTCCATGAGGAACCAGGAAACCTGGGTTTAGACTCTGATTACAGCCCCTGGTCAACTCTGGGCAAGTCATTCTCCTTTCCGAGTCTCACTTTCTCAGTGTGCATGCCTTCTCTGCAGAAAAACTGTGATGAAAATGAAAGTAAGCTGCATGTTTAAAACACTATGTAACTGAAAACAATTATTGGAATTCAAAAACAAAACAAGAAGAAAAACAGCCTGTACCCAATGCTCAGTTCTCCACGACCCCTGCCCTCTTGTGATTCCTGTTTTGGACTCAGAAACCCTTAATGGACAGTGCCCTCCTTGGGACCACTTTAGAGCCAAGGAACTTAGGAATTCTTACTGGACAGTGCCCCCCTTAAGGACCAAGGAACTAGGGGACCCACCCAGATCAGTGGGGCTGGCCAAAGCCAAGCTGGGTTTGCCAGATGTGCAGCCCAACCCAGCTAAGCTGCATGAAAAAAAAAAAAAAAAAAAAAAAAAAAAAATGCCACTGCTTGATTATGTAAAGTCCATCTGGATCCAAAGCAGAAAATCAAACCTGGAAGGGCCCCTCAGAGACCATCTGGTCCAGCCTGCTCCATCTACTGGTGAGAAAACTGGGAGTTCAGAGATGGGGAGCAACTTGCCCAAGGTCACTCAGCAAGTAAGCAGCCAAGCCCTCTTTGTCTTTCCCTGCTGCAAAACACCAGGACACCACTCCTGAACTCCCAAGCCGGCTTCCTGTTAGACCCTCCCTGATCAGAATGTCAGATCTAGCACTCTGGGGCTGACTGGGCTCCTCTCCTATAAGATGAGCAATAAAGTAGGCTCAGTTCAAACATTTACTGGGTCCTTAGTATATGACAGGTGCTAGGGATGCCAATGTTGGGGCAGTCTTGTTTTTAAACAAGAAATTCAGAAGTAGAATGCCCTTGCTAAATTCTACCAAGACCCCAAGAACCCCACACTATTCCCCAACAGTGAGGTGTGGTCAGGTCAGTTTCCAAGCCACCTCCCTGCCAGCCCGTAACTGGCTACCAGAGACATCTTGTGCCACAGGACCACAATAGGTACTGCCCGCACCTTGGAAACCTGGACATGGATGAAGTAAAAGCTGATGGCAGACCCCCATGTGTGGATGGCCAAAATTTGTGACCTCAGGCGTGGCCTTGAAGCCTGGCAGTCAGAGGCCTACAGGAGCAAGGCCCTGTGTTGCTTACTGAGTGGCTGGGATGGAGGTGGACAGCTGCTCCCTCCCACCCAACCCTGGAGGCCTGCTGGCTTCTACGTTTAGGACCAGCTGGGGGTGAAGTCCTGACCTGAAAACTGGGCTGGTTACCCTAGGCCAAGGGCTGGCCAAGGCTGGCTCAGCCATCCCGAGCCAACTCCCTGGTGCAAAGCCTTCCCACAGCAGAGCTTCCTACCCAGGCCTCGGCCAAGCAGGGGAAGAAGTGCAATTGTCGCCAGCAGATAAAATTCTCGATACCATCTCTATTTCCCTTCTAATATCACAGTGGCCGCCTGCAATACTAGTGAGGGGCAGGGCCGGCAATCAATAGCTAATATTCCTGTTGTAAGCAGGTCTATTCCGGAAATGGGCAACCAGTACCTCCTTCCAGAGAGATACCCTTTCCCCTTGGCAGCGACCCAGGCTGAGTGGTTCAGCATCACGGCCAGGAAGAACCAGGCCAGGTACCTGCTGGCCTAGCCTACCACCCTGCATCTGACTGATGGGGAAATGATGCCGGGAAGTGGGAGAAAGGAATCACCCAACATCACCAAGAAAGCAGACAATCCAAGACACTGCTCTCTGCTGTCTGCTAGATGACCCCATCAGCTCTTGATGGCTCACCATGCCTGGAAAACAGAGGTGACCTCAAGTCAAGAAAGTCCAAAAGTTACCTCTATTTGATGGTGGCTAGTAATGGCTAAATAAGGACAGGAATCAGTCTTGGCTTTCTGACCATACACCCCAAACGTCACAGGGGAGGGCCCAAGAAGTATGCCTGGAATTAGGCCTTAGCCATGGACAATTATACCAAAGCAGGAAGTTGGGAGCTGCCCACATATCAGGCAGAACTGAGCCTTGTCCTAGACTCAGGCCAAAATAAAAGTCAATGGCCTATTTTTAAAACATACAACTGGCTATTGTCTAACTCTTTCTACCACAGTGGTCTAATCTGCACTGAACACCCATATTGTCAGCAAGCAGCCTCAATCTGGATGTACACAGATGAAGCATGGTACCTGGGTGGGCTATGTCCACCAGACAGGGAAGCTGCACTGTATCAAGAGCATCTGTGGCAAGTGAGCCTACAAAGAATGCCCAACTGGACAGAATGCCAGTGGGAAAGGCCCGTTGATGGGTGCAGGACACCGTCTGCAGTGGCCAGGAAGATACCCGCCTTGGTGAGGACGAGCCTCTCACACACTGGCCCTGTGGATTTCCCCCCCGGGGAAAGGACAGCAGCCCCTCTGTCTCCTGCCTTTTTGGGTCCATGGCTTGCCAGTATTTTAAGGTCTAACTCTCAACCCATCTTCAATATGTCTGCAGCCTTGCCCCAAGCTAAGACCCTGGCAATGCCTGGTCCAGTCCAGCCTGGAGCTCACATACCTATTTCTAAGGCTACACTCATCTCTGCCCCTTGGACAAGGCCCCAGTTTTGGCAGTGTGCTGGGAATGCATACAGATCTGCATGTGGCCATCCAATGCTCCGGATGGCCAACCTGCGTTCCTCTCTCTCCTCCCACATCACGGTAGATGACCTACCACTTCTGTTTTCAGGAAATGCCTGAATTTCACTGCCATCCTTCTTAGCTGGTGAGCAGCATGTCCCAGCCTTCTTCCCTCAGGAGTTAACACCAACAAAAATACAAAATCTTGCCAAGTAGAATCATCTTCCAAGTCATCCCCGCCCAGAGAGAAACCCCTTTAACATCCCTAGGAGATGTCTGTCAGGTCTTTGCGCAGGTGCACCTAGGGCCAGAGAGCCTCCTGCCTTGATGTGGGATGAGCGTGGTGCTAAATTCTGGCCTATACCAAGCAAAAGTGTCCTTGGACTTTCACTGGTCCCAGTTCTGAATTCTAGGGCTGCACAGAGGAAGCTTCTGCCTCCTTTTCCACACAATGGCTCTTTCCACATTCTTATCTGTGAGTGCCAATCTTTCAAAAGCTGTGGGGAACTTGGGCGGATTCTCAAGCTCAGCGCCGACATGCTTGAAAGAATGAGCCATGTTATGATCAAGAGTGTCATCGTGAAAGTTACAGTCCTGAATGCTGTACCCCTCTAACATGCCATTTCCCGGTCTCACGTTGGCTTAAATCACATGAACCGCCGGGGACAAGGTAGAGACGGAGGAGGTGGCTCGGAAAGGGAGGTAGCCGCATCCAACCTGGCAAAACAGAAAGCCCCATTTCACACACACCCCGGAAAAAGCCGAACAAGGTATCTCTTGGAGAAGGCCAGGCTCTCGACCCATGTGGGATCTGTTCCTGCCTGTGGCAGGTAGAGCACGGGCACAGATGCTTGTGGGATGCTGTCTGTGATCACACTCGGAAAAAATCAAGTGGTTATCTAGAGGGAAAGGGTCCTGAGACCTGCTGGGATGGTGGGTTTTTTTGTTTTTTTTAGATTACGCCTAAGGTTTGTAGTTTGAACAGACAAAGTAAACAATGACAACAGCAGCAGCAACAAAACAGAAACAAAGAACGATTTACCAATATTTTTAAAAGCCTTTTGTTAAAAGAAAGCTCCACACTGGCTTGAAAGCAGCCCCCACTGCCTCCCAAGCCAGGGGCAGACTGTGTCGCGCCTACGAAGCTGGCATGAAGAAAGCAAACTCCAGCAGAAGTGCAGGCAATGCAGGAGGCATCTGCTTTCCCATCTCTTTTCTCCCTCTCGGCTTTTAGGACTGGAGAAAGGCATGGGGAAGGGAAGGATTTGAACCAGCATAAAGCAACTGTATTTAGACCATGGCAAACTGAGCTACTTACTTCTCTTCTGCCCTCCCACCTGCCCAGGGCCTCAGCCTGGAATACAAGGTGGAGCACAAGACCCCCGGGCCCCGCACATACCTGAAAGAAACCTGGCGGGATGGGGCCTCCCGGCATCCCATCATTGGGGGGAATGTTGCCAAGCACGGGGCTTGGGGCAGCTGCTGCACTCTGTGGAGACAACAAGACGGAGGGTTAGTGGCCACACCCGAAACCAGAGACGTGGAGTTCTGACCCCGGCCTGGGCTCTCCCTGTCTGCCCACATTCCCTGTGGACCTTCCTCAAAGACCACTTTCTACTTAAAGTGTCACATTCCCACAGACAAGACATAGGTAGGGCTTGTAAACTCAGACCTGGACTCAATTCCCAGGTGTGCCCCCCACTGAGCAAGCAGCCGATTCCAAGCCTCCTTTTCCTCATCTTTAAAATTGGAGGGCTGGGTGTGGTGGCTCACACCCGAACTCCCAGCACTCTGGGAAGTCAAAGCAGAACTGCTTGAGCCCAGGAGTTTGAGACCAGCCTGGGCAACGTAAGGAGAAGACCCCGTCTCTACAAAAAATAAAAAATTAGCTGGGCGCAGTGGCAGGCTCCTGTAGTTCCAGTTACTCAAGAGGCTGAGGTGGGAGGATCGCTTGAGCCCAAAAGGTTCAGCCCTATCTCATATAACAATAAATAAAATAAAATGAAGGGGGGGAGCAACGTCTACCATTCAGGGAGGCTGCAGGACAGCCTGAGACAAAGCGCCAAAGGTACTTCCTGCAGTACAGAGCAGAGGACCAGAGCAGGGGAACATGGCCAATGTGCAGTGGCTGCTCCTGGCATTATATGGCCCCGGGCTGTGTCTGCTCAGCTACTCTGAGAGGCTTTTGGCAGACAGGTGATTTATAAATTGCTGTGACCTCTCCAAGTGGCTGGCATGTCATATAGAGCAAAAGACCAATAAATATCCATGACTCAATGCATAAATGAACAGACCAACTGGGAAACACTGCTGGAGAGGGGGACAGAGGGCAGGGTGCGTTCTTTGCCCTGCAGGGTCCTAGGTGTCTCATGGGGGTGGGGGGGCTCGATAAGTTGGGGAACCGTCATTCCTTTTTTCTTTAAACGCTGCTATTCTGGCAGCATTTACCTGGTATATGCGCCTCAACAAATGCCTCCCAGGGGTGAGCAGACATTGCTCTCCCAGCCTGGCCTCCTTCCAAAGGATCTGTGTGAGACCTGGTCAGGTGGTCAGTGTGTCTGTGCCTGGTGCCGTGCTCATGCAGGCGGGGGTGAGGCTGAGACGCCTGGGCCTCAGCCCTGAGGAAGCCACAGGTGTCTAAGAGTCCTACCTGGAACTGGGCCCTGCTCCTCCCCACTGATTCTAAACCTCCAGGGTCTCCTCCCACAGGAAGCCCACCTCCAACATTGGTGGTCCCCAAACCCCACTATGACCGAAAAAGTGACACTTGGTCATTAATCATCTCCCAGGGTTCTGACTCTTTGGAACAGGAATGAGCTCCTTGGGGTCAGGAAACAGAGCACCTCTTTTCCTCTTAGAAACACAGCCTCCATCACCACCTTCAAGAAGCCACTTCTCTTTCCTTTCATCAGCAGTAAAATAGGAACCAGAGGCCAGGCACGGTTGCTCACGCCTGTAATCCCAATACTTTGGGAGGCCAAGGCAGGTGGATCGCCTGAGGTCAGGAGTGTGAGACCAGCCTGGCCAACATGGTGAAACCCCATCTCTACTAAAAATATAAAACATTAACCGGGCGTGGTGGTGGGCACCTGTAATCCCAGTTACGTGGGAGGCTGAGGCAGGAGAATTCGCTTGAACTCAGGAGGTAGAGGTTGCAGTAAGCCGAGATCGCACCATTGCACTCCAGCCTGGACGATAAAAGCAAAACTCCGTCTCAAAAAAAAAAAAAAAAAAAAAAAAAAAAAAAGAAACCAGAACCTCTAACTTCCAACTTTGATGGAAGAAAATGAGGTAATGTGCGAATCCCACTAATACAACGTATGCATCTAAATGAACAAACAGACCTGGGAGCAAATGCACCTGGTTTTCAGCACTGTCACCTCTACTAGTAAGTGGGATGACTGTAGGCAAGCCACTTGGACTTTCTGAATTTGCTTCCTGTAAACAATGAGATAGCTGTGGTCCCACCTCCTCGCCAGGGTTGTGGGAAGATTAAGTGACAGAATAGGCTGTGTTTTGTAAGCTGGGACAGCTCTGTGAATCTAGAAACAAAGAAGTACAGGGCATACCGTGGGTGCTGAGCAGGCTTCAGGTGAAGAGAATGGGCAAGCCGCATGTTACTTTTCAAAATGATTCTTTCCTACAGAAAAACAGCCCTCTCTGCAAGAGATATCCTGCCAACCATCCTGTAATGTGTTTACAAGTTTCAAGCATCTCCCAAAATCAGGATTATAGGTCTCCCCATCCCTCAGGACTGAGGTCACAGGCCCCTCCCAGGCCCCTGCCTCACCGCTGCCCCAGCACTATCCAAGATAGGGCCTCATGGGGGAATCGCCAGCTTATCCATTAGCTGTGTTACTGTTGGCTGCATTACTGTTTCTCTGTGGTCAGTAGTTCTGCCAAAATGGCAACTTTTTGTGATTAACTGTCAACAATTACTCCTCAGCAGCAAGAGCAAAAAACTTTTTTTAAAAAATGGGGTGAGGTAAACACTCACCTACATTTTCTTCAAGTTCTTTCAGAGACTGGTGTTATATTTAAGAATTTCAACCTTCTTGTGTACCATTACTTAACCAGTTTGTTTTGCTTTTTTAGAGATGGGGTCTCACTGTGTTCCCAGGCTAGTTTCACGTGATCCTCCAACCTCAGCTTCCCAAAGTGCTGGAATTACACGCATGAGCCACCACACCCAGCCTATTAACCAATGCAATAACAGGCATCACATCTCAGTGTCTGCTAATCTGGCAGTCAGTATCCCTTTGGTATCTGGTATTTTGACTTACCTCTTAGGTCATTACCTTTTGAAATGGTTTGCATTAACCACTTGCAGATCTAATTTTATGGCAAACCATTCATGTCTTCTGCTATTTGGGTATTTGACTTTTTATATATTGAGGAACTAGAATAAGGGTAAGTTATGATTTAAAAATAAAAAAAAAAACAACACTTTATTATTATTAGAGATCTGGTCCCCAGGCTGAAGTGCAATGGCCTGATTATGGCTTACTGTGGCCCCAAACTCCTGGGCTCAAAGGTTCCTCCTGACTCAGCCTCTCAGGTAGCTGAAAATACATATACACACCATCATACCCAGCTAATTAAAAAAAAAAAAAAATGCTGGGGAGGATGGGGGTCTCACATATGTCGCCCAGGCTGGTCTTGAACTCCTGGCCTCAAGCAATCCTGCCACCTCGGCCCCCCCAAAATGCTGGCTTTACAGGTGTGAACCATCGTGTCTGGCCTAATAAACTTATTTATATAAAAACATAAACCTGAGAGTGATCCATTGCCTCATTTATGAGGCTCCTTCACTTTAAGATGTCATTTTCCTATGAGATCAGGAGTGAGTCAATGGTTCTAGGAACTGGAAGTAGTGGGTGGGCCATGGTTCTCTGAATGCAATGGCCAGGGTGACCGTGGTTCTAGTAAATGCACATTTCAATTCTCTGAAATGTGGGGGTGGAAGATGGAGTTTTGCTATTCTCCAGTGATGGAGGACAAAAACCAAGACCATGTTAAGCAGTGACTAAGGGGCAGGAAGCTGAGGAGATGCTTTTATCATTCAAAGTTTCTCAGGCAGCAAAATTAAGTTGTCCTGCAGTGCTTAAATATGTGCCCTGAATTTCGATAGTTATTGCTGTTCCCCTTTGATTATGAAGCAAATATGTGGTCATAACAAAAAAACTTTAAAAAGGGCAGAAAAGTATGAAGAAGAAAACAAAAAGCAGCAACTGATAGTATAGGGCAACGAAAGAGTTAAGAGGTTAGGAAAGGCTCAAAAATAACTTGCTCACAAAACCTACACCAAGGTATCCTCCCTGCAACCACATCTAGGAACATTACACTGAATCCCTGCCCTGACCCTTCTGCAGCTCAGTGGCAGCAGGGGCTGTTTCACCCGACTTCTGAGACCAGCACAACGTGAGGCATACAGCAGGTGTTCAATAAATGATTACTATTTGTATTATTCAAAGACCTGCTCAAAGCTGACCGTCCGGAGCCAGGCCTTTCCAGACTGCTAGGAATCGGCCTCTCCCTGTGGTTTCCAACTTGGAGCTAGAGCTCCATTAAGGCACTCAGAAAAGTGTCTCCTGAGTTTTCTCTAACATCACAAAACCAAAACCCCTGAAAACCCCTGACATTTACTAAGGCCTCCAGTGAGTGTGCCAGGGCTGCAGTGGGTTTAACAGGCTAGAAGTCCCCCATGGAGGACAACAGAAAAGAACACTGGATTCAGAAGCTAGAGATCTCCTAGCTGGGAGCCCCTATAAACAAACCCCTTTCTCGTTCTGGGACTCAATTTCCCCATGTATCCAATGATGGGGTTAGAGAGATGACCAGTAAGGCTCTTCTTCCAAGCTGTTCTCCCCAGTTCAGTCCACACACCTAGAGGAGCCAGAACTGGAAACAGCAGCTCTTCCACGAAGAGGATGGCAATCCTCTTTCTAGGAGACCCGGGTTTTAACTCTTCTCTATTCATTATAGACTGTTTTGTGATCAAAGATTCAAAACTACCCAGAGACCTGTCATCTGAGCCCACAGATAACAGTGGCTGACATTTGGGTTCTAACCGCCTAGGTTATCCACTTTCTGGACTCAAAAAAGCCAACTCAAACCAGCCAGGCAGTTTGGTTAACTTGCACTTAAATTCTTTTCTAAACAGAAAACAGGCCTTGAACAGGGTGATGTGGCCCATTCTAGCCAGCTGCCTTCTCTAAACCTACAGTCAACTTCAAAAGCCGGATGTGCTTTTCCAGAGCACTGCCTGAAGTTTCCCGTTCCCAGCCAGGGAGACTTGCGAGGAGGACCGATCCCAGAGCTCTCTAAGGAATAGGGATTCTTGATGATCCCAGGATGGGTACACAGCCATGGGGCTCCGGGACTGCCCCCTGCCTCGGCCCCATCCACAATTCAACGAGATAGACACATGCCACAGCAACCAGAGATCCCCCGCAATCCCACTCTGTAAGTATACCTGAAAACCTCACC